TATCCAGGCCTCAGCATTCTGTAGGTTTCAATGAGATCCCCCTCATCCTTCTATACGCCATTGAGTACAGACCCAGAGTACTTAATCACTCCTCATATGACAACTTCTGCAATCCCAGGATCATTCTTGTAAACCTCCTCTGGACCCCTTCCAATGCCAACACAACCCTTCTTAGGTATGGAGCCCAATTGTAATATCATTACACCTGATTCCAGCTCCTCCCTCTCAAACTGCAGGGTGAATTCTATCATATTATGGTCACTGGCCCCTCGGGGTTCCTTTACCTTAAGCTTTCTAATCACATTTGACTCATTACGAATCACTAAATCCAGAAATGCCTGTTCCCTAGTGGCCTTTACCAAAGCTCTTCCAAAAAAAAATCTCATAGACATTCCATGAATTCTTTCTTTTGGAATCTTCTGCCAACTTGATTTTCTCAGTTCAACTGTAGATTGAGGTCCTCCATGATTATTGTAATAGTGCCTTTCTCACATGTCTTTTCTACCTCCGGATTTATTTTCTGCCCCACATCCTGATGATTGCTAGGAGGCCTGTACACAACTCCCGTCAGGGTCATTTTTCCTTTGCGTTTTCTCAACTCTACCCACACAGATTTTATGCTTCTGAGCCTATATCACTTCTTGCTATCAATTTTATTTCATATCTAACTAATAAGGTAACTCCGCCACATCTGCCTGTCCTTTCAGTAGGTTGCAAATCCATTGATATTTAGTTCCCACCCTTGACCCCTTGCAGCCACGTCTCTGTGATACCCACAACATCATACCCACCAATTTCAATCTGCACTACAAACCCATTTACATTGTTTTGTATACTGTGTGCATTTAAGTACAATACCATCAGCCTGCATTGACTGACCCCTTCTCATATTTGTCCCCTCATCTGCTGTGCCTGAAGTTAGATTCCTGACCCTTTCCATACTGTCTGCCCTATTACTTGTTCTGGAAACTTTAATAATCTCTCCTGAGCCCTCATTCATTCCCTTCACCATTAACACTGTTACAACAATGGGCATCATATATAAGCTGTATTGCAGGAACTCACTAAACCTCCTTTACAACACCTTTAAAAGCCATGACACCCACCAGCCAGAAGGATAAGGACAGCAAGAATTTTGGAACCTCACCAACTGAAAGTTCCCTTCCAAGACACAGACCATCCTGACTTGAAACTATGTCAACATTCCTTCAGTGACACTATGCCAAACTCTTTGAGTTCCCTTGATAACATTAACCTAGTCGTACATACATCAGATAGACTGTAATGATTCAATACGGTGGTTCACGTCTTCGGCTAATGTCTTAAGTATATTTAAATACTGGCTGTGTTGGTAATATGGCATGAAAGCTTTCCCAACCTGCTTTACTTCAACAATTTTTACACATCAGACACCAAGTGCCCCCGATTGAATTGAATCCTTTATTTTATTTTGTCTTTCTTCTTATCAAAATCTGTCATTTCACATTCCTCTTCATTAAATTCTATTTGTTCTACGTCTGCCCAATCACAGAAAGATAGTCAGAAGATGGGTTGCAAGGACTGTGTCTTTTTACTTTTGTGTTTTTAAACACTGTGGACGGAAATATGAAAGAACTTTTTAAAACCTGTATTTGCAAAGGTGCTACAAGTTTTGAAAAGCAAGTAATCTGACACGCATGGCAGGTGTCAGAAATAGCTATTTGAATAAGCTTCAATAATAATTAGAGCTTTGTTGTCGACAATTTGGAGTCAGGATTGTGTACTGATGCAGCTTTAGTTACAAGAAGTTACTTTGTCTATGGATGATGATCATTTATCAATGACAGAAACCTGTTTGCCTGCAAACAACTGTGTGACTGGTTCTCATGTAACTAAACAGCTTGGAAGAAGTTATTTCAGAGATAGCAGGAACTGCAGATGCTGGAGAATCTGAGATAACAAGGTGTAGAGCTGGATGAACACAGCAGGCCAAGCAGCATCAGAAGAACAGGAAGGCTGACGTTTCGGGCCTAGACCCTTCTTCAGAAAAAGAAGAAGGGTCTAGGCCCAAAACATCAGCCTTCCTGTTCCTCTGATGCTGCTTGGCCTGCTGTATTCATCCAGCTCTACACTTTGTTACCTCAGCTTGGAAGAAGTATTCAGTTCTTCCCTAGCATAAGAGCAGTCTCTCTGTTCTCTGCATTCAAACTTACTGTAAGCCTAAAAAAAAGCACAACAACAAAAACAAAGTTGCTGGAAAAGCTCAGCCGGTCTGGCAGCATCTGTGAAGGAGGAAACAGAGTTAAAGTTTCGGGGCCGGTGACCCTTCCTCAGAACTCAAAAAGCAGTTTATCTTTCCTGCAACAGTTGTTATAACCAGTGACTTTTAACAGATTAGTCACAAGACTTTTTATAATTAAATTGGCCACGTTTTATGTCTCAGCATTGAGTGAAAGCATCTGCCAAAAGACAACTCAAGCAAAGTCCTGGGAAGTGAAACAGACATAAAGGTCATCTCAACCATAGTACCTGGGAACAAAGACTAGCGCACTGTTTTTCCAGTTCTGTCCATAACTTATTTGACCCTTTCTGTTTGTCTGTATGTGTGTTCATAAGGAGGGGTTTAAAAGGGGATTAGAATTTTAATTAGTATTATTGTACGCTGATAGTTTAGAATTGTTTACCTGTTGCTAGAGTCTAATTACTTGGAATAAAGAGTCATTCTTGTTCAATGCAGAAACTGGTCCATGTTTTCTGTCAATTTGGGTCTGAAAGTCAGGTAAATTGGGAAATTTGCATACTTTTTAAAAGCTTAAATTTTATGATGACTCCTGGAAATGCAGGGCTTGATTTTCAGCGCCATACACCAGTAAGATGTAGCAGGATAAATATAACCTTTCTCAGTGATTCTTCTCACTGATTGAATGGATGGAGCTGTTGTAATGAACAACTGTATTGTCCAACAGCTAATAGTAAGAAACCTACTCATTAGGGGATATTTTAGAGTTTAACTTTTCCATGTGACTTCTTTGGTCTCATTCCTCGACATAAATATGTTCTGAGCCTGATCACCTTCTCACTGGATGTCCAGAATAAGCAACAGGGGTCTCTAGAACAAGATTAAAATTATGTTTCTCACCTAATACTTGATCACTTGCTGTGCCTCATTACAGCTTTGGTTAAAATTAGATAATTCAACACAGATTTTCATCTTTGGATTTTGGCTTTTGGAAATGAGAATTGCTATTATTCATGCAATAAAATCCAAATTTATACACATGTTTCTCTGATGGTCCCTTTGCCCCCTCCAATTCCCAGATATTAGGAACATCCATACCAGAAGGCAACTGAAAAGTAAGCGTGTACTTCTCCCCTATCTTCTAAACAGCTAGAAATAGACACAATACCTAGCTTCTTGTATCATTGCAATTCTCCAGTTGCACACTAATACCAATCCAGTCAATATCAGATGTTCATCTACTACACCACCAGGTCTCATGATAATTCATCCCTGAGTATTTTCCATAAGGGACATTTGTACAAACCACCAACAAACTGCTAAAAATTACATCTACACTCAGTAACTAGGAAGGCAAGGATCCGTCGGCCTAAAGTCTGGAATTTAGAAAGAAATCCTTAAAAGCAGAAAATAAAACTGATATGTTAATATGTTAAGAAGCTTATAATACTTTTCAGTGGGAAAGGCACCCAAAACCAAACTTGGTCAAGTTCCCAGTTTTATGAATTGATTAAGAAGTGTGTAGTTTGGGTGGGGGGTGGAGGGGGATGTTTCTGTGCTGTACAGTCTATGTCATCCTGTACATGTAAACCTGAAGTGGTCCACTTTGGGTCACTTTGAGAATTTGATTCAATGCCTGTCCCAACTACTCAAGTCATTATTTAAATCTGGTGCAGTACCGAGGACTGCTATACCATCAGCGATGTTATCTACTGAATGACATATCCTTAGGTTATGAAAAATACTGTATAAAAATGTAAACCTTTCTTTAAACAACTGTTGATATGCTATTGGTATTGATGCCTATATTGATATGGTTACTACTGTAAAGTTAAGAGAATTCAACCAACTTAGTTTGGTTCACAATGTAAGCCAGTTTGTTAGGATATGAACTAAATCAACATGCAAAGATTGTTTTCATGTTCATCAAGGTAAACAGTACTGCACACAGACATATTGTAAACAAGTCTCAGGTAACAGATTGGCTCCCTATGAAGTCCGGCATTGTACAAGTTTCCATATGCTGTACGATTTGTTCTCATCAGCACAATCTCCCAGGAATCTATCAGACGTCTAACAAGATATTGATGTTGCAGCTCTGCAGCTACTGATTTTACTTCTACAGCTTGGTATACAGAAATGCCAAAGAAAATTGTTTCTTCCAAAGCCTCCAATCTCCTGAAAAACATTTTCAGCTGAGAATCAATAATGAACTGTGAGGAAAAGCCAATACAGTATTCTGCAGCAACCTGAAAAAGGCGCACAGGAATTGCATGCCATCTGCTGCCAACCTGCACCCACACAAAGGCAGATGGCATTTTTATCTCATAACCCTGGAAATGCAAGATCCTTTTATAGAATTACAGCCACAGGGACTCCTTAGTATTGTCAAAATGTTGACAAATGCCCATTGATCCAGAGAGAAAACTACTGAAACCTGAAATGAAAACAGAACACACCGGAAATATTCAGTGGGAATAGGAGGCACTTGTTAAAAGGAAACAAAAATGGGCGTTTTGGGGATTGCTCCTTCCCCCAGCCCTCCAAGATGGTGGTATGTGTTATAAGAGACGCCTGCAGCTGGCATCTGGTTCTATTAGGATGTCCTCTGGGTAGATCTGCTCCCAGCGTTCCTCCAATTTTCTTAACTGGCAGCTGCAACTTCTGGAACCGGGCATCAATGCCACAGTTGGTGTGTCAATGCCAATCACCATATGCAGACCATCAGAGCAGATGTGAAGGACTGACACCTAATAAGTCTTCTGCAGAAGAGGCACATACTTGAGTAACAAGAAGTCATTTATTACATACTAACTAAGACAACAGGTTACATTAGCTTAATAAAGGTTAATTATAGAACACCTGAGTATTTCTTAAGAAGTACTAGATTAATCCAAGTTATATGGTTGCCAACAATATAAGTAAGACTAACTGATAATTGGACACAAACAACACACTGACGACTTCCTCTCTCCTCTTTATCTCAGTTGGCAGAGCTATACAAAAGCTTTGTATTAACTTTTTCATGTCAACTGCCTTATAAACAGCATTTCTGCAGAACGTTTCCCACATAAAGTGCCAGGATTGATTAACATTTGGTAATTCTTAGATTCGATTCACCAGCCATTCCCTAGTTCAAATGTGTAAGAGATAGTGGATTGACACAGAATGACAGCATCATAACTTAATAATAGGATAATGGGAATTCACTGTGATGCTGTGGTGAGTCTAGCCACTCAACCAACTGAGTCCTTCTTCCTCAGCTTCTACCCCAACCCACATCTCACCTCCTTCACTAAACTGCCAAACTCACAAGGACTAAATTCAAGTGATAAATCGCAAACTGTATCTGAAAATGAATGCAGTCATGAAACCCCTGGCTGAGAATGGAGTCAGGCCCTTCAGAACCTAGAAAGAGAACCTGAATAAAGCCTAAATGGCATTAGTAGTCACATGCGCATGAAGTCCTTTCGCCCACTATTTCAACAGAGGCATTAACCAGTTTAAAAAGAACAAGTTAGAAGCATTTAAACAGCAGGAAAAGTATTTTAAAAATCTATTTAGTGTTCATCCACTATTTTTAAGGGTCATATCTCTATCTGGAACTGACAGTATTTTCTACTTTGGAATTGTTTTTGTACAAAAAGATCATAGTTCAGGTTCAATCTCAGCATGTTCTTGCAGCAGTGACATTGATCTCTGACTCTATTCTGCTCATTAAATTACATGCTGTATTTTGTTTGCATTTCTAATCCATACAGTGGCCACAGGAGATTTACATTCAGCAGTCAGCGGTCTAATATACATTTCCTCATATTCAGCAGATTAAAAATCTGGTACAGGGAGGAGGAATTTCAACAACATTTCAAATTTACTAGATATCTCAAATAAGTGCAAAAAATTAGGTTGTCAGGGGTATTAAGGATACAGAAAAGACTGTATCTTTTCATTTTTCTGAATTTTGATTGTGGACTGAAATGGGAAATGAACTAATTTAAAAACCAAGAATTGTTGAAGGATTGCGGCATTAAAAAAAACACTTTACTTGACTCTCATTCTAAGTGCTGTTTGCACTGCTGCTGGTTTAAGCAGTGGATAAAGTTTAGTTATACATAACGTGGAGCTAGGGAGGTATGTAAGACTGGAGATCGGCCAGCAACAAGTAGTTGATTGGTCTGTGAAATGTTGAACAATTATTGATGACAAAGTTCTCCTACCTGCAATCATTTATGTTATTGGTTTCCAGAAGGCTGAACCGCTTGGGGGTATGAATGTTTGGGATCAAAATTATTTGACGTCCAGACAGGAAGAAGCTGTTTTTGCTCTGCAGTAAAAAGCATCTCAAGCCTGAAGATGGCTATCTGCTTTTTCTCATCAGTTGCTGTAACCTCTCATCCATAAGTCAGAGACCTTCACAACTATGAGCCAGTCACCCTGTGCCTTCTGCAAGCAAGTGAAGGTACCTGGAGAAGAAAGATCAAGAAGCAGTGTTCAAATCAGTGCAAGGATCATTTCAGAAACCCTGTGGAAAGGGATCACTGAGCTGCCTCCCCAGTCTTTCCCTTTGCCTAAAACACTCCTTTTATTGTGTGTCTATTTGTATGCGTCCATGTGTGTGTGTCTGTGTGCGTGTGTCTGCATGCGTATGTGTGCGCGCCTGTGTATAGATAAAGAATTCCAAAACTAGGTTCAAATTTTAACTAGTACAGTAGTATGTCAATGGTTCATAGTTGTTTACCTGGAGTTAGAAACTATATTTGAAATAAATAATAATTCCTTTAAGTACAGTAATCCAGTCTGTGTCTTCTGTCAATCTGAGTCTAGGAGGCAGGTAAATTGAGAATTCTGTGACTTTTGTAAGATCTTTAACTTTGTGACAACTCTGGCGTGATTTCCACTATGCTCCCTCAGTGAGTGTAACAGCACTATGGGGTGGTGCACAATCCTTTCATTTCTTTGACCAAGGTATGAATCCATGAAGACTGATGGGTTGAAAACCTTCACCCTCTATTAAATGTAAAATTTTTTGTGAAGTGAGTTAATTAGAATAGTGTCAATTCTGGTTCTTGTGCACATGTCAGGTTGCAGAACAAAACTGCCTATAACTTAACGATCACTCAGAATTCTTGATGTCAGAAGTCATGCCATTTGGAGATTATGGCACAACAAAATGAACCTTAATCAGTGTTACACCTGACTTGAAGCATTTGCAGCTCACACAAGGAGACATTCCATAACGTTATATACGTGGTGTTGTTTATTATAAACATTCATCACAAAAGTCTATTGTTCAGAAAATCTCTCCGACACAGAGCAGAAACACCGGAGGTAATATTAACTTCTGTATTTATTATGTGGATGTGTGATATTGTTGTACCATGAAATGACCAAGATGGTAGAAGAGGTACAAGATGGGCCTTTGTTCTTTTTCATTTGGCGATTCATACCTCACTACGGATGGTTGTTCCTAAAATTTCAAAGTTAAATCTCCTCAAATCGCCTGTTTCCAAAATAAAGGCAAGGCTTGTTTCTTTTTCCAGACCACTTTAATCTAAAAGTGGGATCATTGCATTTATTTCTATTCAACATGAAGGTTCCTTAATATCAAAGTCCCTTTCCTAGGATGTGCAAAATACTTAGCACTGTCTCAACATTAGGGACAATGAGCTTGATTCTGGAAGTTGGCCTGAGGTGTGTGAGATTAATTTTCCAGTGCCAAGTCTCATCTACCTGCCTCTGGATCATTTTCTAAGAAGCAGGTTAGTTAAGGTCACAGGTACTCACTTGCAACACATTAATAGGCCTGTTCAGACCAATGAGCAGAGGCTGACTGTAGTTATGTCTGGAATCATTGTGGCAGATGCCCAAAAGCAACAGGCCAAGGGGATCCATTTAAGGCCCAGCCCAGCAGCATTGCCATGCTAAAATAGCCACAGTTGGGACTTACTGAGAAGATCATTGCTCTCCACAATAGTGGGCTAGCAGCTGTGGCCATTTTTGAAGAAGGCTTTTAAAAGGGACTGAGAAAGTGTGCCCCATCTTGATGTCCCTTGCTTTTCCTTGTCTGTGCCAGCAGGCTGCTGCTCATTCAGTGCTGGAGAATGTCCTGTAGGCCCTCCAACTTCTGGAACCAGCCCACCATCCTTGATTGGATGTCAAGTGTGCTTTCTGTCCATAATTTGCCCTTTCATTCAAAAATTAGAACTTTTGTGTCAAGTCTATGCCAAAATTCTGGTTTCAATACAAAAATTAAAATCCAGCTTTAATAGTGAGATATCCACCAGTTTGAACTGTTAACAAATATGTAAGTATGTATGCTTTTCAATGAGACACATTGAGGTATTTTCCAACTCACCAGCAGGAGCCCATTGAAGAACAAATGGGAAACATTTAACATCACCTATTGCCAGTTTACCCCCTTCTCCCTACCATATCTTCACCTCCCTGAAAGATGTACCAGATCAGTTCCACAGAAAGATTTCCAGATTCCACCCCTAGCTGATAAGGTTGCTTGTCAGTGTTTCTTTCAGCTCTGGCAACTTGCTAATTTTAAGAAGAGCTCATCATTAAACTTGATTGGGCCTCTCATTCATAAAAATAAGGAGGACAATGCAATAACCCTGCCATCTGATTTGATCAAGATGGAAATTATTTCAGCCTCGAAAGGACTCATCTTTAATATGCATAAATTATTTAACAAGATGTTCTGTCTTTCCCACTTGTGATTTGTCCCAGGCCAATTCACAGCTTAACCAACCGTGTTTAGAAGTTGCTATTACGAGATAAATCCACACAATGCTTTCTCTCTCTGATATTCTCTTGCTTGGCTTTACAGCAATAGCATGGTTTAGATCAATAATGCACTGAATGGGGAACTGCAAATGCAAGCATGTATCTTACTATTCATCATTCTGCCCTCACAAATTGCTGTAACAATAATAGAATTTCACTGCGTACATTTTCCATACAGAAAAGAACCAACACCCAAAGTGTCAAAGTGAAATAGCACCAAAATAGGTACAGTTTTTACATGAAGCAATTTGGGTCCTCATATCTATAATAAACTGCAAATTGAAACTGCAAAGAATGTAAGCCAAAACCAACATTTTTGATCAGAAAGCAATCCAGATATTCAAAATGAAAATCTGCTGCATTTGTAAAGTCTTCAATCTATACATGGGATTTACACTGCAGCAAGTCACAGCACAAATAAACATAAAGATTGTAAAATTTAAAGCAGCTTCAATAAAGTTCCATATAGTTCAATTTTCATAACCAAAACGATGTGCAGATTTTTTTGTCTGTTTCTTATCTCAGCAAACAAAATAATCTAGTTGTTGACATATGTCCAGAGCAGATATGACAAACTGGCAATTATGGAGTTGTTTGTCTCAATACACTCAGTTTATTTATACATGTTTGTGTTTAAATGAATATTCTTCACAGCAATGCACTCGAAATTAGTCTACAATAAGAGCTTTATTTCATGAAGTGTCATTATTGGTACAGTAAGTCAGGATAAATAAAATCCCTATTTGCAAGTTGAGCCTGTAAGTCAGGAATGACTGTACTGTGCCAGTATTATGTTTGCTCATGTTTTGCCTCTGATAGGAAGTCAACTACATTGTGTTAGAATTATTTTAAAGTGTCTTTGTAAATGTATTGAGTTTAGAAAGGAATATGCTGTTTTGTGCACCATCGCTGTTCTGTTTAATCATTGTTTACATAAAACACCCATTCAAGTCACAAGTTCACAATGGCCCCGCACCTACTGGAGGGGCACAATCCTGGGAAAGCCCCTGAAATCCAACGACGGAGTGCAATAGAATTGCTGACTTTTGTACAAGGTAGTTGATTGTTCAAAACAGATGGCGTGGGGAGCGGGGATTGTGAAAGGTGTGTGGGAGTTTCCTTTGGAGGTGGAGGTTGGACAGCTGTTGGGGGTGGGGGTGCACTGATCAGTAATATAACCTCTGAAAATCATGTCAATTTACAACCTTTAGTGACAGTAATAAGTGGTACTACTTCAAAAGTGCTCCTATTCCTCCTCAATGATCTAAACCAATCAGTGCCTTTTCACTACTGCCATTAGCTGCACTATTTCTAATACTTTACACCACTGAGACAAGAGAAGAAAGAAAAATTAACTCAACTAGATTTAAATTCAGCAAAGCTCCCTTTTCTCAAACTCTGTACTGTTAAATAACTTGAAGCACAGAGAGGAAGATGCTCATGCTTTCTAACTTGCACGAAATATCGTACGTTGTCTCCCAGGAGTTATGTAATATCCCAATGTAAGCAAGATACTTTGCTGTCCAAAATCTTACATAAACCTTTTATCAAGAAATAACTGGTTGTTTCAAAAATATAACCTTGTCAAAATTCTCATTTCTCAGCTTCAGCCATCATCAGTCACCCCTACAAGTGGGCCATACATTCCCTACCAATCTGGACCACACCATTTTCTACCAACAGCCGAATATATGATTGTATAACTAAGAGATTGTATCAGAAAGCCCTTGTTCCATATGCCAGCAACTGAATCATTACACACACATATGTCATAGGGTCTTGTGGAACAGCAGTAGTGTCTATATCTGTGGGCCAAAAGAGCCTGGATTAATTCCCATTGACCCAGATATTGATTACTACAACTACATGTTGCAGTACAGCTTTCACAAGGAGAACTGTCCTGTCTTCCCCAGAATGGCAAGAAATAACAACATGAATTACTGACTCTATAAATATAGTTTCATTTCCTAGATCAGATATTCAAAGCTTGCTGGTAGTCATTTTTAAAGTGCAAGCATCTGTCTGTTTTTTAAAAATTCATTTGTGTGATGTGGGCGTCGCTGGCTGGCCAGCATTTATTGCCCATTCCTAGTTGCCCTTGAGAAGGTGGTGATGAGCAGCCTTTTTGAACCGCTGCAATTCACCTGCTGTGGGTTGACCCACAATGCCATGAGGGAGGAAATTCCAGGATTTTGATCTAGCAACAATGAAGCTACAGCAATATATTTCCAAGTCAGCATGGTGAATGGTTTGGAGGGGAACTTGAAGGCGTTTGTGTTCCCATGTATCTGCTGTCAGTGTCCTTCTAGATGGAAGTGGTTGTAAGTTTGGAAGGTGCTGTCTGAGGATCTTTGGTGAATTTCTGCAGTGCATCTTGTAGATAGTACACACTGCTGCTACTGAGCGTTGGTGGTGGAGGGAGTAGATGCTTATGGATGCAGTGCCAATCAAATGGGCTGCTTTGCCCTGGATGGTGAGGTTGTAGACTTGCTCACCAAGCCGGTGTGTTTGATTGCAGGCTTTTTGTCACTCTGCTAGGTCACATCAGTGCACCTCCGGTGAAGCGTTGGTGTTCTGTCTCACTTATTATTTATATGCTTCAGTTTGCTTGGGTGGTTGGCATCACTTCTGGTTCTGTTTTTCAGTGGTTTGTACATCAGGTCCAGTTCAA